CCCCCCAAACCCCCTCCCATCCAGCAACCAAGAAAATGCTCTCTGCATCCACATGTCTCTGCTCTGCCTGTTCACCTTGCCTGCAGATTCCACTGTTGATAGATATGTATTCATGCCATTTTGTTTGTTCATATATTTTATCTTTTTCTTCAAAAAGACCATCATTTCATATAATAACGGTTTGGTAGTGATGAACTCCTTTAACTTTTTCTTGTCTGGGAAACTCTTTATATGGCCATCAATTCTAAATGACAGCTTTGCAGGATAGAGTAATCTTGGTTGTAGGTTCTTGCTTTTCATCACTCTGAATATTTCTTGCCACTCCCTTCTGGCCTGCAAAGTTTCTTTTGAGAAATCAGCTGACAGCCTTATGGGAACTCCCTTGTAGGTAACTAACTGCTTTTCTCTTGCTGCTTTTAAGATTCTCTCTTTGTCTTGAACCTTTTGCATTTTGATGATGATGTGTCTTGGTGTGGGCCTCTTGGGGTTCATTTTGTTTGGGACTCTCTGTGCTTCCTGGACTTCTATGTCTGTTTCCTTCACCAAGTTAGGAAAGTTTTCTGCCATTATTGTTTCAAACAGGTTTTTAATTTCTTGTTCTCTGTTCTCCTTCTGGCACCCCCAAGATGTGAATGTTGGCACGCTTGAAGTTGTCCCAGAGGCTCCTTTCACTATCCTCATTTTTTTGGATTCTTTTTTCTTTTTGCTGTTCTGATTGGGCGTTTTTTGCTTCCTTATATTCCAAATCAATGGTTTGCTTCTTGGATTTACGTACTGTACTATTGAATCTGTGTAAATTATTCTTTATTTCAGTTAATGCCTCGTTCATTTCTGACTATGCATCCATCATTTCTGACTGGTCCTTTTTTATGCTCTTGAGGCCCTTGCTAAGTTCATTGAGCATCCTTATAAACAGTATTTTGAACTCAGCATCTGTTAGGTTGCTTATCTCCATTTCGCTTAGTTCTTTTCCTGGGGTTTTGTTCTGTTCTTTCATTTGGGACCTGTTTCTTTGTCTCCTCATTTTGGCTGCCTCCCTGTGTTTGTTTCTGTGTATTAATGAGAGGTATGGGGCTGAGACCAGATGCTACTTGTTTGAAAGAATTTAGGAAAACCTGAAGCAGGATCCAGGACAGGCCAATCCTATGGTTAAGCAAGTGGCAACAGCTTGGGTGGGCCTGAAAGTTGGGTGGGGCGGGGCCTCAGGGAATCACCAGGGCGGGGCTACCAGTGTGAGCCAGGTTGCTGGAGTCCCAGATAAGGCAACTGTCTGCCGCCCTAGGGAAGGGCTCACCAAAGGAACAAAGGCCTCCGAAGCACGTTTGTCCCGGAGAAAGCCCCCTATCAAGCCCTCGCTCCAATGCCAAACAGCTCAGTTCTTTTTTGTATGTCCCAGGTGCCCCTCAAGCTGCCTCCCCTCCAAGCTTAAAGAGAGTGAGTCCGATAAGTCTGTGCGCGAGCCCTTTAAGGAGCTGCCTGGGGCTCCAACCGCATCAGCTTCCCTGAGCCTCAGTTCCAGCTAGTTTTTCCAGCCAGAAGTTATGGGGACTTCTTTTCCTGGCACTGGAACCCTGAGCGGGGCGTCTGGTGTGGGATGGGGACCCCTCAGTCCTCAGGGAGGACCTTCCCAGCCGAGGTGTCCTCCTGATTTTTATCTGCCACACGTGGGTGTGGGACCAGCCTGTCTGCCTCCGCCCCTCCTACCAGTCTGGATGTGGCTGCTGCTTTAATTCCGTAGTTGTAGGACTTCCATTCAGCTTGATTTCAGGCAGTTTTGAATGATGGTTGTTCTGTAGTTTAGTTGTAACTTTGATGTGGTTGTGGGAGGGTGCCATACCGCGTTTACCTACACCGCCATCTTGACCGGAAGTCCTCTCTTTTTTTTCTTAACCAGTTTTACTGGTGGTTGGTTTGTTGATCATTTCATAGTAAAAAGTAGAATCAGCTAGGGTTGTTAGTTCTAATCAGCAGAAATCTACTCTCACAAACTTAAGCAGAAAAGGAATTTATTGAGAAAGAAAATTGGGTAAACCAGAATAATTAGCCAGGTAGCTAGAAAACTTGACTTGGAAAATAGCACCTAGGATCCAAGAGCAAAGTCTATATAATATGAACTATTTGAAATATTTTGAAACTTCTTTGTGACCTAGTATCTTTTTAATTGCTCCTTGTTTGCTTTAAGGAATATATATATTCTGTTCCTTGAGTGCATACATATATGTAAATGTATATGATCAAGTTTGTTAATTTTATTGTTCAATTTTTCTATATTTTTACTAACTTTTAGTCTGCCTGATGTGATTTTAGTTATGGTGTGTTAAATTTTCTTACCATTATTTTGAATTTATTCATTTCTCCTTATAGTCATATTAGTTTTTGCTGTGCTGTACATTCATATTAAGTTCATGATTATTATATCTTCTTGAAGGGTTGCTTTTAAATCATTATGTAATTTATCTCTTTATTCTTATTAGTGCTTTTCTTTTGGTTTTGCTATGTACTAGTGCTGTGACCTTGAGCAAGTCATCAACCTCATTTTTCTTATTGTAAAATGTGTGCAATACCTACTTTATAAAGTTTCTGTGAAGTTTCACTGAGAAAATATATATGAAGTATCTTACATGTAATGGATTCAACATAAATGGATTTAAAGTAGTTTTTTCGCCTTACGGTTTTTGCTTTTGCTTTCCTCCTTCCCCTTCTCTTTTAAGGCATCTAATTTTAAATACTGTTTGCCTATAGCTGGAAGTGGGCTTAAGGGATATGATTAAAATAGTCATCAGGACTTTTTTTTTAAGTGGATGAAGGTGATGGAATGTTCTGTCTCCCAAACTCAGGGTCTAACAACCCTCTAGTACTTGGTAGACCTGTAAGTTACTGTTTTCTGCCTCTGCATTAGGTGCAATATTTCTATCTAAGGACCTTCCAATCTTCTCAGGTGTACTAAATGAGTCTTTCTAAAATAGTTGAGACAACTGAAAAATGACAAAGACAACTGATTGAGGAGCCTACTTTTCTACATGTATTTATCAACCTCAGTGGGATGTAGAGTTATTAGTAATTCAGAATAAATACTGTTTCAATCACTATATATACACATAGGGGTATATAGACATGTCATGTACACGTAAGGAATTTGTGTATACTTTCCCCCTCCTTTTTGATAGCATTTAGGACTTTCATTTCATTCTTAACTTGGATTTTTATCGTCTATTTATTGGGTGCCTTCTATGTACCTGTATATCTCGGATTCACAATTTTAGCTGAGCAAACAGCTTAAAAGATTTTAAAATGTGACACATATATTGTAACTAGGGTTGAGAGATACAGTGCCTTCGAAAGATAGTTATGCTCAGTCTCTGGAGAACCTTGAATGACACGTTGAAAAGTTTTGACTTGATGCTATAGGCAGATCAAAACCACTGAAGGTTTTGAGGATAAAATAATCAGGTTATATACTGACAATATTTACAGCAGTGTTTCTCACCTTCCTAATGCTGAGACCCTTTAATACAGTTCCACATGTTGTATGTGGGGGTATCTGCATTTGGGCGGACCCGCCTGGAGGCAGATAGAGGAACGGTGTCTCGGTTCCTAAGACCATCAGAAATATGTGTTTCAGTGCTCTTAGGTGACCCCTGTGAAAGAGTCGTTCGACCTCCGAAGGGGTCACGACCCACAGGTTGAGAACGCTGATTTACAGATTGTGTACAGGAAAACATTCTGGTGGCAATGTTGAAAAAGAAATAGACATATACAGTATTATGAATAAAACTTCAGCTCATTTAAAATGTTACTTGGTAACACTACAATGGAGTACTATGCAGCTGTAAGAAAGAAAGATCTCTTATCCTTTGACACTACATGGAGGGACCTGGAAAGTATTATCCTAAGTGAAACAAGCCAAGCAGAAAAAGACAAATACCACATGGTCTCACTTATATATGGAATATAATGAATATAACAGTCTGAGGAATAGGGTAGACCCAGAAACACGGAAGTAGGGTACAGACTGACAACCCTCAGAAGAGGGGGTGGTGGGGGTGGGAAGAGATTAGCCACAGAACTTATATGCATATATGCATAACCAATGGACATGGACAACAAAGCCGGGGATGGGGCGGGGGGGGGGATGGGGAGGAGGGTGTCAATGGGGTATAAAAGGAGAAACATCTGTAACAAAAAAATTAAAAAGTAAAAATAAATTTTAAAAAAGCAAAAAAATAAAATAATAAAAAAATGTTACTTGGTAACACTGAACTAAGTTTTAAATATAGTTTTTTCTTAAAGTCTTTTAATATGTTACTTTACCAGTGAAGCTCTTCCAGACCACTCTATATAAAATAATCTTTTTCTTCCACTTTACATTTATTTCCTTCAATAGCACTTAGTACCACCAAATGTATTATGTACACACGCTTATTTGTTTATTCTCTGTTTCCCTTTACAAGACTGTAAACTCCATGGAGCAAGGACGTTATTTGTTCAGTGCTTCTCCCAGTGCTTAGAATTGTGCCTGATTTACTCCCTTTAATAATTATTTATTAAATGAATAAATGAATATTCAAATTAAGATGACCATAATTAAAAATATTTTTTTGTTAATCCTCACCTGAGGATATATTTTTTCCATTGATTTTTAGAGAGAGTGGAAGGGAGGGAGGGAAGCGGGGAGAGATAGAGATAGAGAGAGAGTGACGGGGGGGGGGGAGAGAGAGGAGAGAGACATTGATGTGAGGTAGACACATCGATTGGTTGTCTCCTGCCCCAACTGGGGCTATGGATTGAATCTGCAACCCAGGCATGTATCTTTGAGGTGGAATCAAACCCAAGACCTTTCGGTGTGCAGGCTGATGCTCTAACCACTTAGCAACACAAGCCAGGGCAAGATGACTGCAATTTTTAATGTTTAAAATGTGGGGAAAGCAGTAGGACAAAGTGAACTTGGTTCCTTCCTAGAAATTCCTGTTAAAGATCTTCTTCTTTTCCCTTTTTTCCAGAGTTTATATTCAGAACACCAATCAAATTAAGCAAGCCTGGGGAACTTCGTGAGGAATATGAAAGCCTGAGAAAGGTATAGTATACATGTTATCATGCCATTCATTTTTTATTTTTTTAATCCTCACTCAAGGATATTTTTCCATTGATTTTTTTAGATAGAATGGGAGGGAGGGAGGGAAGGAGAAAGAGAGAGAGAGAGAAACATCGATGTGATAAAGACATAACAATTGGTTGCCTCCTGCACGACCCAAATGGGGTCAGGGATCCAACCTGCAACTGAGGTGTGCCCTTGACTGGGAATCGAACCTGTGACTCTTCGGTCCTCGGGCCTAGGCTATAACAACTTAGCCAAACTGGCCAGGGCTGCCATTCATTTTTTATTTATTTATTTATTTTTAGTGTAATAAAGTTTGCCAATTTTTACATTTTTATTAATTATTTTTGTTACAGATGTTTCTCCATTTTCTCCCCTAGACATCCTCCTCCTGATCCCGCCCCCCTGCCCTCTCACAACATTGTTGTCTATGTTCATTGGTTATGCACACATGCATATAAATTCTTTGGTTTATCTAATCCCACCCCCCCTCCTCTGAGGTTTTCAGTCTGAATCGTACTCCTTTCTATGTCTCTGGATCTGTTTTGTTCATCAGCTTATTTGTTCATTATATTCCACAAATAAGTGAGATCATGTGCTATTTGACTTTCTCTGACTGGCTTATTTCACTTAGCATAATATTTTCAGGTCCCTCCATGTCGTCTCAAAGGATAAGAGATCATTCTTTTTATAACTATGTAGTGTTCCATTGTGTATATGTACCACAGCTTTTTTATCCACTCATCTATTGATGGACACTTGGACCGTTTCCAGATCTTAGCAATTGTAAATAGTGCTGCTATGAACATGGGGGTACACATATTCTTTCTGATTGGTGTTTCAGGCTTCTTAGGATATATTCCTAGAAGTGGGATCACTGGGTCAAATGGCAGTTCCATTTTTAATTTTTTGAGGAAACAACATACTGTTTTCCATAGTGGCTGCACCAATCTGCATTCCCACCAGCAGTGTACTGGAGTCCCCTTTTCTCCACACCCTTGCCAGCACTTTTTGATGATTTGTTGATGGCAGTCATTCTGGTGGGTGTGAGGTGATACCTCATAGTCATTTTAATTTGCATTTCTCTGATGATTAGTGACATTGAACATTTTTTCCTATGTCTCTTGGCCATTTGTATGTACTTTTTGGAGAGGTGTTTATTTAGGTCCTCTGCCCATTTTTTTTTTTTTATCCTCACCCGAGGACATTTTTCCATTTTCTGTACAGATAGAGTGGGAGGGAGAGAGAGGAAGAGAGAGAGAGAGAAACATCGACGTGAAGGGACACATCGAGTGGCTGCCACCCACACGACCAACCAGGGCCGGGGACAAACTGCAACCGAGGTACGTGCCCTTAGCGGGAACCGAACCTGGGTCTCTCCGGACCGCAGGCCGACGCTCTAACTGCTGAGCCAAACCGGCCAGGGCCCTCTGCCCATTTTTTAATTGGGTTCTTTGTCTTTCTTTTGTTGAGTTGTATGAGTACTCTATATATGTTGGAAATTAACCTCTTATTTGATGTATTATTGACAGTTATGGTCTCCCATAGAGTGGGTTCACTTTCCATTTTGATGGTTGTTTCTTTTGCTGTGCAGAAGCTTTTTAGTTTGATGTAGTCCCATGTGTTCATTTTTTTCTTTGTTTCTCTTGCCTTAGGCATATCAGTGAAAATTCTGCTGCATGTGATGTCTGAAATTTTGTTGCCTACATTTTCTTCTAGGGTTTTTATAGATTCACAAATCACATTTAAGTCTTTTATCCATTTTGAGTTTATTCTTGTTTATGGTGTAAGTTGGTGGTCTAGTTTCATTTTTTTGCATGTATCTGCCCAATTTTCTCAACACCATTTATTAAAGATGCTGTCTTTACTCTATTGTATGCTATTGCCACCTTTGTCAAATATAAGTTGAACATAATGTCTTGGGTCAATTTCTGGGTTCTCTGTTTTGTTCCATTGATCTATATGTCTGTTCTTGTGCCAGTACCAGACTGTTTTGATTATTGTGGCTTTGTAGTATAACCTGATATTTGGTATTGTGATCCCTCCTACTTTGTTCTTCTTTTTCAAGATTGCTATGGCTATTTGGGGTCTTTTTTGGTTCCATATAAGCTTATGAAGTATTTGTTCTAGTTCTGTGAAATATATCATTGGTATTTTAATGGGGATTGCATTGAATCTGTAGATTGTTTTGGGTAGTATGGACATTTTAATGATGTTAATTCTTCCAATCCATGAACATAGTCTATGCTTCCACTTTTTTATGTCTTTATTTCTTTTTCCAATGTCCTGTAGTTTTCTGCAAACAGGTCTTTTACTTCTTTGGTTAAGTTTATTCCCAGGTATCTTAATTTTTTTTGCTGCACTGGTAAATGGGATTGTTTTTTTAGTTTCTCGTTCTGTGAGTTCATAATTGGTGTATAAGAATGTTGTTGATTTCTTGATGTTAATTTTGTATCTTGCTACTTTGCCGAATTCATTTATTAAATCTAGTAGATTTTTGATGGAGTCTTTAGGGTTTTCTATGTACAATATCATGTCATCTGCAAATAATGACAGTTTCACTTCCTCCTTTCCAATTTGGATCCCTTTTATTTTTTTCTTTTTGTCTAATTGCTGTGGCTAAGACTTCCAGTATTATGTTTAAATAAGAGTGGTGAAAGTGGGCATTCCTATCTTGTTCCTGTTTTTAAGAAACAAAAACTAAATGCTTTTAGTTTTTGCCCATTGAGTATGATGTTGGCTGTAGGTTTTTCATATATGGCTTTTATTATGTCGAGATATGATTCCCCTATTCCCACATTGCTGAGCATTTTTATCAGAAATGGATGCTGGATTTTTTCAAATGCTTTTTCATCGTTATTGATATGATCATATGGTTTTTTTTTTGTTTTTTTTTTAATCCTCACCCGAGGACATTTTCCCATTTTTTTGTTCAGGTAGAGTGGGAGGGAGAGAGAGGAACAGAGAGAGAGAGAGAAACATCGATGTGAAAGGAACACATCGAGTGGCTGCCACCCGCACGACCGACCAGGGCCGGGGACAAACTGCAACCGAGGTACGTGCCCTTAGCGGGAACCGAACCCGGGTCTCTCAGGACCGCAGGCTGACGCTCTAACCGCTGAGCCAAACTGGCCAGGGCTGATCATATGGTTTTTATCTTTCATTTTGTTTATGTGGTGTATCACATTTATTGATTTGCGAATATTTTACCAGGCTTGCATCCCTGGGATGAATCCCACTTGGTCATGGTGAATGATTTTTTTAATGTATTGCTGGATCCAATTTGCTAATATTTTATGGAGGATTTTGGCATCTGTGTTTATCAGGGATATTGGTCTGTAGTTTTCTTTCTTTGTAGTGTCTTTATCTGGCTTTGGAATTGGAATTATGCTGGCATCAGAAAACAAGTTTGGAAGTCTTTCTTCTTGAATTTTTTGGAATGGTTTGAGGAGAATGGATGTTAGTTCTTTGAGTATTTGGTAAAACTCCCCCGTGAAGCCATATGGGCCTGGGATTTTGTTTGCTGGGAGTTTCTTGATTACATCTTCAATTTCCTTAGTTGTAATTGATCTGTTCAAGTTTTTCTCTCTCTTCTTCTTTGGCCCTTTTTAAAATGAGGGTGTAATATGTTGAGTTGGGTCTTCATTTTCCTTTTATAATGGTATTGTGAAATTGTTTTGTTTGATTTTTGGGTTTTTTAAAAAATCACAGAGCTTTTTTCTACATAGTAAGAAATTATTCTCAGGAACCACATCAAAAGAACCACAGATTCATCTTAAATACAATCCAGAATATCCAGATACTTAGCTCTAATGTGCCTTTTAAAAAATTGGAGATTATGGAAAATTTAAAGCTATCAGCGTGAAGATAAAGAGAAAACAAGGACTTAGAGGTAGAAAAGGAATTAAAGTAGTTGGAATAGTAAGGGTAGAGGTTTTTATAAGCCTTGGGAGAGAGAAGAAACCTTGGGGAACTATACTTTTGTTCCTGTTAGGAGGGAGGAGCAGAAAGATGGTTTTAAAAGGGACTGATGGCAAAATGTTGTTGAGGGAAGCTAAGACAATCTCATCATGTATAAAGTGGATTGTGTTTGAAAAACACTAACCTGTGTTCTTTGGGTTAAATAGAAGTTCGCTATATAGGTCCTTCTCCCCCACACCCCAAATACCCAAATTATCCTGCATCCATTGTATAACCTAGAAAATGGAAATTCAAGTTATAAAATCAAAAGTCACTAATGGGACATCCATACAATGGAATACTATTCAGTAATAATAAGGCATGAATCATTATACATGCTACCACATGGATGAACCCCCAAAAGACACTAAATGAAAGAAGCCAGATACAAGAGACCATATATTATATAATTCCATTTATAGAAAATGTACAGAATAGACAAATGTATAGTGACAAACAGTAGATTCGTGCTTGATTGGAGTAGGGGGTAGGAATGGGAATTAATAATAAATGGGTATGAGTGATTTTATTATAGTGGCAAAAATTTCTAAAGCTGATTTATTATGTTCCACGACTTGATAAATTTACTAAAAGTCATTAAATTATACACTTGAAGTGGATGAGGTCTATAATATGTAAAATATGATTCAATAAAGATGTAAAAAAATTTAAAAGGCACTAGACATTTGTATGAATACCTTGATAGAGAACAAGATGTCGCAGAGTTCATATTTTCTGAAACAAAATAAAGTAAACATATAATTATCTGGATGAATCTCCAGGGAAGGAAGGTCTTTAAAAGTTGGTACTGAGCAAGGGATGGTAAGTGGAAATTAACTCTGTAGTACTCACCATTATTCATTTGATGTGTAACATACTACTAATATAATTTTTATTTAGTATACTTTATTATTTTGTATAAGTGGCAGTAAAAACCTTTATAAGGGCTATAAAAAGATAACAAGAAATTTTATTCCCCTAATTCTGGTTCTTTTAAAAGATGTTTACTGCCCCGCTGG